TATATAAAGCACATACAGTTTATATATGGAACATTTTGAAAGAAACTTTTAAAAAGAATTCAACATTTAGCCTGACCTCTTGTTTTTTTTAGATCCATGGAAATAAAATAACTTATTCCAGGAAAAATATTTCAGTGGTATATACAGAAATAAAATCAGACTTACTTAGATTTATTATGATGTTCTTTCTAAAAATCCTGTATGTTTGCATTGTTCTATGCTTTTAAGATGAAAACAAAGAAATATATTTTTGTTTGTATTTGTGACTGACTAGTTCAAAATATTTCCAGAGCACTTCTGTGTCCTGATAACGTCTACCATTTCTGCTTTCCAAATTTATTAGGTAGTCTAATGGCAGAGGGAAAGAATGAGAACCAGGAATGATGCACAATGCAATAATTATTATGTGTTGTAAATGTTCTGTAGACATTTGATTATTTGTATCAATTCATTTAATCCTTACGTTAACCCTCTAGAATAGGTCGTTGCTATCATCCCTGTTTTCCAGATGAGAAACCAAATGGCAAACAGGTTAAATAAGTAATCTGTTCAGTGGCAGGAATCTGGCGTTAGAGTCCATGCTCTTAATCATTATGTTATTCTGCCTCTCAGCATATGTCATATTGGTGCAAGGAGTTTAAGGAAATTGCCCACGTTTATACTTTGAAGTTGTAATTCAAAGCTACTTTGAAGTAATAATTAAAACACAAGCAGTCTGACTCAAGAGTCTACATAATTCTCCTAGCCTTTCATCAGTGAGTTTTCAGAGTCCGTACTGTGCAGTACAGTGATGATGGCTCAACTGTACAATGGTAGCGTGGCAAGAGATCTGAACTAAGACCTAGGAAGCTTGGGTCCTCACTAGGTTCTTCCAATGGCTTGCTTTAAAGCGATGAGTGAGGTTTTGGGCCTCTTTTTCCTATGAGTTTCCTGAGAGGATTTATAGTTTATGCCTTCAGACTTTTGGCCTGACTTGAAATTGCTACTTCTTCCATCTGGAGGAAGTAGAGTTGGTATTTCCTCTCATTTGGATTGAATATTTAACTTTCTCTAAGGCATTTTCAAAATGACCCATAGAAAAATATCATGATAGACAGATGGGGTGCAAAATGCAGTTTTGGGTTCCAGACCACATCTGTTGAAACAAAATTTATAATAATGGGATTATGGTCTTGGAACCTGCATTATCAGATTAAATCTTAGCTAAACTAAATTTTGAAAATCATAACCCCGAGGTTGTTTCCAGCCTGTACCACAGTGTCTAGTAAAACTCACTGCTTCATAGATGGCACTTTTTACTGTATCCTCACCTGGCAGAAGCACCAAATAGCTCCCTCACACCTCTATTATAAGTCACTAATTCCACTCATGAGGGCAAAGCCATCTCTAATACTATTACTTTGTCAGTTTTCAACACAGGAAGTTTTAGACCATAGCAGAGAGTAAAGAGCAACACATTAAGAAAGGCAGAAACGGTCAGGACTTTGGAAAGCATGGTTCAGAGTTTGGTTCTTCTTCTCATCTGTTATATTCCACAAGCCCTCTCTAGTTGATAAATTAATAGTCAAACACAGGAGAGAAATGGGGAAAACAATAAGTGAATTGAGGAAGGGTTAGAAAGTAAGGAAAGGAGATGGGAATTAAAGAGGAATTAAAGCAATGTTAAGGTAGAGCAAGAAAGGTCTTATACAAATTAGGCAGTTTAGGGTTTTAAAAAGCATATAAAAACCAACTGAAGGACACAGAACTATATTTATAATAAGTATATTACCACAAAGAAGTAGATGTTAAAATTATGCAGTATTATATATTTGTGTTTTTTTTATAAGCATATCTGATTATTTCCCTGTTATATACTAATTTATTGGTACATTCAATGTAGGCTGTTTGCCTGTACCATTGTTCAATCAGAAAAAAAGAAACAGACAACCATTAACTTCTAATCCACTTAAAAATGATCCAGGTGTCAGTTCTGCTTCTGACAGTTATGATTTCCCTCCTCTTCCAACAGGTAAGGAAAATGAATTAGGTAAAAATTTTCGGGAAATAAGACCTAGGATTGTCGAAAATTACAAATTTTCTTTTATTGTAATGAAAATAGAAAGTTTAATTTTTTTCTCCCTATTTTCCAAATATGGAGATTACTTGGCTCTTTCTGAACATTCTAGTACAGATGTTTGAGTTTCCTAGTCCACAAGGGTGGCTTAGCATTTAAATGGAGTATTTAATATCTGAAATCATTGTTCTAATGAAGTAGTAACCTACATTGCAAAGATATTTTTTATTTTTCAAAACACATATAGTTCTAGTTCTTGGAGGTCATTGATTGACTACCTTCTGTATTTCTTGATTAAATCCTAGAGACAAGGAGCCTCTGGTTCATGTCTTCTAAGTGAGACCACTGGCTTAGCTTTATGGTTAGGCCTCTTACCTCTGAACCAATTAACTGTGGTAGTGAGAGCTGGGAGATCTTAATGTTTACTGACTTGACTTCTTTCTGGAAGAAGACATGGACAGGCAGACATTCTGAAATATATTTGGTACTGTTGATTCTACACATTTAATTTTTTAGGTACTTAAAAAAAGTATTACTAGAATTTTATACAACCAGAATTTAAAACTATCTTTATATATCGCAGTACTTTTATTGTTAATTTTATTGTTTGTTCTGATAAACTTTAATGTAGGATTAAAATAGTTTTTTTCTTCTACATTAGAGGAAGTAAAGTATAAAGTTAATAGTATTACCGTTTTTATGGATAGAGAATTAGAAATTCACCCGAGAATGTACAAATCAACATTTATCTGGTCATTCTCCATCACTTATAAAGATCTCTACCATTTAAAATATTTTTGTAAATAGCATGAGTGTTGATCTTTAAAAAGTAGCAAATTTGAGCTATTCCATAAGGAAACATACATTTTTCTAAATTACTGAATTCTTTAATCTCTCACCAGAGGTCTGTTAAGAGAAAGGACTATATTGATGTTTTTGAGAGTTTCGTCTTGCCCCACTATTTGAGCTAAGATACAACCAGTCTATAGAGAACAAAACAGAATGAGAAATAGAGACTGAAGTAGAGTGGAATAGAAAATATGAGTCTGTGTCATACATAATAAGGACTAGGTCTGGTGGTGAAATTTTGTTTTGTTCCCTTACCTCAGTGATGGCGAACCTTTTAGAAATGAGTGCCGAAACATCAACTCAAAACCTGCTTATTATCACAGAGTGCTGATACTGCAATTAAGTCAGAATACTTAGCAGGTTTTATTTAGAAAAAACAATTCATATGTTAACATCTTTTGTCTTAAAAGAAAAGCAAACAACACGTGTGCAGTAGCTTTTCCACCAGTGTCTTACCTGCTTTGCCTGTTTCTTCTTTCTGTCTTTCTCATATATACTGTGCATATATATCTGCTGTGGGTTATGAAGTTCTTCTTGCTGTGGGGTGGAATCATAAAAGTTTATAAACATTGAATCAGATTGAGTTCCTGTTACAAAGTATAAGGTTAGGATTGATTGTGGAGAAGATACAGATTAAACTGTTACTTTTGCTTAAAATATAATGGGGAAGAAAGATACCTATAAATATAAGTCAGGTGATGAAAAGTCAGAACAAAGTGCTATTGAAGACTATCTAGATCTTCAAGTTTTTTTAAAATCTCCCACATTAAATAAATATGAAGTAATTATTTAGAAAAATGCTACATGTATTATTTTTATCTGTGTTCTTATACTTTTGAGATTGGGCCTGGGAAGCTGTGAATCCAGAGTTGGCTTCTTTAACAAAAACAATGAACACAGGGTATGTAGAAAAATATAAATACATGAATGTGTGTCTGTTACTGACTGATGTTATTCTTATGTGTATATTTTACATTTCTGAATTTGAAAATAAACTTAATATTTAACAAGATGTATCTTCTTGAAAGGCAAATACCACCTTCAATGTCATGTTCCTTAAGAAATCAAGATTATATGCCTAAATCTATTCTGCCAAATACTGAGAGAAGCCAATGTGGTTGGAGGTGAGTCTACTTCAATGTTTTCTTTTATTCCTTTCTCTTGTTTCCCTGTCTTCCTTTCTGCCTGTTCCCTCCTTTATCTCTTTTTCCTGTCTTAGATAGAACTACATTTAGGAAATTTCTACATTAATAACTCTAGTATTTGTATATTACCTATGCATACCCTTCTTTATACTTTAAATCATCCCTAGGTTATGTATAATACCTCATACAATGTTAAGTGTCATGTATACAGCTGTTAGGCTGTTTCATGTAAGGAAAAATGACAAGGAAAAAGTCTCTATGTTCAGTACAGATGCTATTTTTTCCAAATATTTTTGATCAATGATGGGTCAACTCTGTGGATGCAGAACTTATGGTATGGAAGGTTAAGTGTATTTTGTTTTTGTCTAGATATTTACCTTTACCAGTAAATTTTTTAAAATTTACCACCTTTAATTATGTGCACAGATTTATAGTTATATAACGAAATCTAAAACAAATCAGAAAATTGTTTACAGTAAGTATCCCTTCAGTATGGCAATTTTACCCTCCAGGGAGAAAATTTTAAAAGGGTTAGGGGAAAAAATAAGGAAATAGAAGAGGAGGAAGAGATTAAAAGTAAGGCTGAAGAACAAAGGAAAATTGCATAAGCTTTGGGAAACTGGTTAGGTGAGGAAGGCAGGAGGGAAAAAATGAAAGAAAAAGAAAGAAAAGAAAGAGAGGGAAATATATCTATATACCTATATATCTATATCTATATCTATATCTATATCTATATCTATATCTACACACACACACGATAGCTAAGAGAACTGTACTGCTAATGTCTGTTGGTTTACTGAAAGGAACTGTTAATGCTTAATTGTTTGATCAGTCTTGCATACCTATATCTGGTAATCTGATCGCTTCTTGGCCTTTTGGCTAAGATCAAGTGTGGTAATCTGAGCAGCTACTTTGAAGATAACAATATGTAATATAGCAACCATTGTTAATTTCCTATCACCTTGTTTTGAAATTCTGCATCATTTTTAGTGTTGTTTTGTTTTTGCTTTTTTGTTTTGTTTTCTCTCTAAAATAAAAAACCAAAAAAAAAGAAAGAGGAATCAGAAATAAGAATAGAACAAAACAAAAAAACCCCTAATGTTCACACTCATAAAAACAAGAACAAACCAGCAAGAAAAAGAAAAGAACAAAAAAAATAAAAGTATCCAGTTCAGGCCATGTCTCTGCTGCTGCTGGTAGGCAGAGGGTCAGACAGAGCCCAGACCCATGCTGACTGATCTCAGTAAGCTGGCAGTAGAGTTATGGTGGTGTAGTAGATAATTCTAGAAGATGTTTAACATCTTTTTGTTTCAACTTGAATTCTTGTTAGCATTTTTTATAATACATAACCTATTGAGACCTTTAAGCGTCTTAGTAACTGCTGGACAACCTTCGCTTAAATACTTGTAAATAAAGAGGTTTCCATGTTTTCACAGGCATTAGATAAAGGGGAAGAGAATTTTTGTTTCTTACTTGTATAATTAGCATGTTGTCTTTTGTGTCACTGTGTCTCTCTACTGCAACAGCTTTAGGGTCTTTACAGTTTTTAGATCTGTTCCATTATTCTCTGAGAGAATTTTAAGGCAGCAGTTATTATAAAGGTTATTTTAGGAAATGCTCCAAAAAATGATTCATATGAATTTTGGTTTTATGGTAATTTAAAGAGCTGTTAATTTCCCACTGCTCTGAACTAGAGTGATTTGGTATAGTCTAATAGAATATTCAAAGTGTAGTTTTCATTATCAGAAGAAAACTTACCATAAAGTTAATGATGCTTATCTGTCAGGGCCTCATTTTCATGTCCACTTCAAAGTTGTGTCCTCATCCATAGGCCAGAGAAGAAAACAGCAACTTGAACAGAGTACAGAGTGAAGTGCTTTTTCTCCTTGGGTCATTTATTCGGACAATGATCCTGGGACTACAGGCCTCCATAATAGGTGGCTGCTTCTTCCTTTTTGATTTATCTGGTCTCAGGAACAGCTAATTGTTGGGGTCCTTGTTGAACATCTGGACCTTTCCTCTCCATAAGAAAGACTTTTTTTTTACATTTTTAAATTTTATTTTAAAGATAATAAAAAACTCAATAAAAACATACAGAATTTTAAAACAAGATGATAGGAAATTAACAGTGGTTGTTACATTGCATATTGAAAGATTTAAGGGAGAGTGTTTTCTGCTCTGCTCAAAAGCCACTGTAACTTTGGCTTCATGATCTGCTTGCAGTATTGAGACATGGCCGAATTTGGCTTATGAAGCAGTATCTGTGTGTCTGTGTGTCAAACTAGAAAGGTAAAAGACCATAGTTCTCCCAGCTCTGATCCCCAGGCTAGGAGTACCTTCTGAGCAAAAATGTTGGAGGATATTTCAGGTGCAGTATTACCGATAAGTAGTTCTGAAGCTGCAAGAAAACTTTTCTAGGCTCTACATAATAAAAATTATTTTAATAGTCATGAATGAAGAAAGACAAATTGTCTGGTAGCTTAAATGAAAATAATTTTTTTCATATGAAGAGGTGATCAATGTCAGAAAAAGTCTTTACAGAGACAGTTAATAATCTAGTAAATATTTTCCTGGATATTGTGACACCTATGGCATTAATAACTTTTAAAATTTAAAATTTGTGATTTAAATTATCATCATTTTCATAATTTATTTTTAACAGTATTTCCCAAATTATATAAGCTTCAGGTCCCATATAGCTTAGATTTGTTCTGGATCATATTAACCTAGACTTTTTTGGATTTTTTCTTAAACAAGGGATGGGTTATATTGATTGCCTTCTTGTAATACTTGTGATATTTCTTGAAAAATTATTTAGAATTATGAATGTATGATTCAGACTAGATTTCCCTGTGGAATTCTTAACTAGCCTGCTTGAAAAATACACTTTTGATTTTGGTCTTATTGAACTCATGTTCTGATCATAGCTCATTTAATGCAGCTAGTAAATACTACAAAACTGATTATTAATACTTCACAGCTATATGGTAAAATCACAAAATATATAATCAAATAGCTATCCTACCTATACTTATTTATCCAGTGATTTAAAATCACTGACAAGCCGTAGTTAAATTTTTTTATTGTATAGAAAATTTTAAAATAAATTCATAAAGAATTAAGCACAAGTCCTCCTCTAAATCTTTCCCTTTGAGTACAACTAGTATAATATGGAAGCTGGTATAGTTTAAAAATACTAGCTGGGCATGGTAGTGCATGCCTGTAATCTCAGCACTCAGGAGACTGAGGCAGGAGGATCACCATGAGTTTGAGGCCAGCCTGGGCTACATAAGTGAGTTCAAGATCAGCCTGCAATACATGTCTTGTTTGAGACAAGACCTTGTCTCAAACAAACAAACAAACAAAAATACTGTATAAAGTAAGTCCACAACTTAAGAACATTTGAGTTGTGAACTTTCACAGGTGTAAGGTGTACTATAGACTGTTGGATTACGAACAAATCCAATTTATGAACATTCTGGAATGGAATCTGGAATGGAACTCGTTCCTAAGTTGGAGACTTACTATACTTTGAGTTGGAAGACTAGTTTTCTCTGGGTTTTGAATCTTTCAGTAACACGGCCAAATTACTTCCTCACTAAACCTCCATCACCTCACCTGGACAGCAGTAAATAATATATTGTAGGGTTGTTGTGTTGTGTTTGGGTTTTCTAACTAGTTAGTAGTTACAAAATGGTAAGTATACCATAAATTGCTACAGAAATGAAATTTGCATAAATTATTTTTAATTTTAAAATGTGTATAGAAATAATTTTTTTTTTTAATATTGTAGCTATAGAGATGACAACAAAAATACCAGCATAAAAACTTGGGATAAAAATGATTTTAGGCCTCAACGCAAAAGAACAAACCTAGTGGAAAATGATGGGAGATGTTCTTTTCCAATGAATTTGGAAGCTCAACAACAAAAACAATTAAGAATATCTGAACCTCATAACTTAACTCATCATGGAGAAACTGAGGTACTCAGACAAACACATTCATCAAAAATGTCTGACTATAAAATAAAAGGCCTAAACAAAAGCAGCTCATTACAAACATTTAAGCCCAATTTTCAAAGAAATCAATTTAAGAAACAAATGTTGGATGATACGCCAGATGAAAACACTTTGAAGGTAAATATTTAAATATTAATGAATAACATTTGCATTTTTAAAAATGTGAGGTAAATACTTGGAAGGTTACAGAGGTAAGAACATTTGAAATTAGTCCTATGCTATATGTTATTTGATTAGCACAATCGTAGTTCCATTGGAGTGGATGAATATTAGTTTCTAAAATATTTTCTTAGGGTTATGAATGGCTACTCCTTTTCATAGTTGCTTTAGAGTTTCCTCTGGAGTCTGGCTTTCATAGCTTATTAAGATAATAGTTTATCTATTGCTTGTAGAAATTATCCAAGCTCTTCATATATGATTCTAAGTTTTTTTTTCTTCCCAATAGAGGTTGGAAAACTTTCTGTAAACAGCCAGATAATAAGTGTTTTTGGCTTTCTGGGCTTTATGGTCTCTGTTGCAGCTACTTAGTTATACCATTTAGTTCTGCTACTATAGCTTTGAAGCAGCCACAGATAATTCATGAATGGACATGCCTGTGTCCTAACAAAAGTTTACAAAAACAGATGTCAAGTTAGGTTTGAATTA